CTGTGCGGATTTTTCTTAGAATTATATTTCAGATTAGTATTGATAGGGTATTTGCAAATAAAGATTTCATTTGATCTYCTATGGTTGTATCATCATTRTAATAATTTCTATTTTTGTTTATTTTTTCAGTTACTTTCTCATTTTTCCTTTATATATTATTACAACGTTACGTTATACTAGCTCAGTTAGTCTTCAGTTCTATTTTCTTCATCAAAATCTTCCCTTCTTCGTTGTCTTCAGTAGGATYACGGCAGAGATCCATTGATCCACATMTYCAGTAATTCACAGTGGTCGACAGATASAAATCGAGGAAGTATCTCCCAGAYAGGTTGTAAGATYSCCCKWACGTAATCATTACCAGGCTGCATCGATAATTTAGTCGATCCGTGAATTMAAATCTGAACAAATCGGCCTGCAATGCACCAGTAAATGACACTCAGYTCATCTTCACTTAAAGGAAAAACAGAATGATACCCCCTTAAAAAACACCCTGCAWTATCAAACGTMGAGCCTTCAGATCTAGATGCAATGATGATGTGCGACATTGCTATGGCGATTTCAAACACCCGATAGCTGTAACACAGATCTCCAAAATCGATGATGCTGAAATGATGATGATGATGGCTGTTAATGTTATTTATTAAGATGTTCATATCATTGGCGTCATTGTGAATCACTTGCTTGGTTAGGTGTTGTAAGACTGGAGGAACAATTCTTGTGTACTGTTTGAAAACTTTGACGATGAGATCAAGATCAGCTTTGTTCTTTATGTACTTGGGTAGAATGAACGGCTCTAGTTGACTCAGGTATTGCAAGTCACAGCTAAACTCGTAGCTTATCAAATTTGGGTCTTTGAAATCCTAAGAAAACAATTAGTTGAAATGATGGCTGTTATCTTATTGCTATTTTCTACAGTTTAGTAAAGCATGGGTACACTGCCCAATTTTCTGCGCCTCGAGTCTCGCATGAAAACAGCAAGCTATGTAAATGTTGTTCGCTAGATTGTGAGATGTCTCAAGTGAATTACCAGTTATTCAAACATTTTTGGATACCATTACTACTATTATTACCATTTATTCAGACATTTTTGGCGCACACTTGAGTCCCTAGGTGGCTAAACGATGCAAGCGCACGACATTGCAGCAGGTTGCGTTATATATACTGATGAATAAAACATCAGTAATCATTGATTTGCAGTATTTAGTTGACGTCAAGTAATGTTGCTTGTATTACAAAACGCTATTAGTGCAGTTTAGTTAATTACCTCGAGTTCTCTATCAAGCTGAGCAACAAATCGTCCAGAATTGTACAGCAATACCGGCGTGGATGAAGATTTTACTTTTAATGCATCTTTTAGCATTTGGCCTGGTAGAAAGTTCATCATACGAACTGCATACGTTTTTTCATGAAAATCGCTATCTTTCACGAAAACCGTGTGTTTCCCAGTGTTTGCCAGCAAAGGAAAAGAGCAAGAAATGCCTCGCTCTTTTACAAAYAACATACACTGATTTTGAGCTTGAATGATGTTGAGATTSRCGGAATCAACCGAGTTTAAAATCTTCAAAACAAATTCATTGCTTTCGGTTGTTCCGTTGCTTTCCTTTTTAGATCCTTTAATGTGGAAATTACGATCTCCATAGCTGTCTAGCTCTCGAGCAAATGTAGCATAGATTCCCCAATACTTCAGTGCAARYTCGACTGCAAGCTTCTCTGTAACTTTTGGTTTTTCAGAAGACGCTATTTGATCTTCATTAGGAGTTGTAGAAATCTCTCTAATAGGACTAGTAGTTTCAGAAACGGTGGAATCACTCATAATGATGATCACAGAGTGAACTCTTTCTTTGACCGTCAACTTTCACACGAAAACTTAGTACGTGCAAATGATTCCTCTCTATACAAATTAGAAAAGTTGTATTTCTTTAGGACAAAGAAATAAGGTGTATGTAACTTTATGCTGCGTCAAGAGTTAAAAAGCCATAATAGACTGGGATTGTATACAATGGTAGGTGGTTTTAGTGTGACGGCTTGGTGACAATCACTCTTCCRTGCCAGTGCACACTCAACAACAAACTACATCAGTAAGTATGTCTTTATCATTCTTTATTTATCATTTTGTATTTAATAGGAGAATTTGCACAGTGGCGGCATATACTACAACTAATTATGGACCGTAAATAGAGCGCAAAGAGGGCCAATGAAAATCTATAATTACCAGCTAGAATACGAATTCATTACTTGTATTCTGATAGGTTATTATTGTAAAATGASGCCACTGTAAAATTGCCATTTTCAATGTCCTACAATAACCACAAAATAGAAATATTCTTACACATTCACGTTCAATAATCGTGCGTTTTTGAGAATTTCATACATATCTTTCTATTCATGACCTGCACAACTTTGTTGTACAKCCATTTCTAAAATTAAAGACGAAGTACAAATTGACTGAAATTGGAGGAATTTACAATTTTAAAGTACATGAATTTGTTTTTCAATTAAAATAACAAACAAAATTYAAAATAAATTCAAATAGTTTTGTTTCTTATAATCATTTTTGACATTCCTTCAACAACGGTAAAATGTATCATAAATGGGCCAAAAAAGTGGCAAAAACCCTTCAAATGAGACTAACAGTAACAATAGCCTTTTTTTACCTACACGGCCATGCGTCATCGATAGATAGATAGATGGTTTCTATTTAGATTGCGAAAGGCATGGAGAACGAACAAGAAACAAAAATCAAAGTTACAGTAATTGCCTTATTTCTTGCACACTGTAAGACAATATCGAAATTATCGGGGCTAAAATTCAAGATGGCGGACTTCGTGCTCAAAAGTTCTCAATTTTTTTCTTTGCTACGTTAAAGAATAAGATAACACCAAGTAGGGGTGGAGTAAGATAGATTTTATACCATTAATTACAGTAATTTTCCAGTTATCATAAATAAGTCTATTTTTTTCTATGCATTGACGTGGTGTCAGCTGGCCCCAGACGGAGGTCTTGGTCCAGGTACTCTTCTGTAAGCATCTAAAAAACAGAACGGGCAAGCTTACATCAAAGTAGTACAACTAAAACAGGAAGACCGACGATCGATAGCAGAAAATGAAGTAAACAGGTTTTTAAAACTAGTTTTTCGTGTTATACTTACTTGGTGAAGCACCCATAGGTGGTGCATTGGGCCGTGGGATGTGACCAGGTGGAGGTGGCCTTGGAGGGCCCATTGGTGGACCCATAGGAGGGCCCATAGGTGGGCCATAAGGAGGTCTTAACGGTGAAGCTCCCATGGGACCATATGGTGGTCGTACMGGAGGTGGATGTCTCATCATTGGTGAGCCCGTTCTCATTGGAGGACCTGCTGGATAAGGTGCGTATGGGGGAGGGGATTCGTTGATGTGACCATCATTGTCCAGTGAATTTTGCTGTTGAATAAAAACAACCGTAAAAAAGTAAGATTTGCTTTTCGTATCTTCATTGAAGTAACACTATTCCCAAAACCATTTCCCATTTACTTCCCATTTTTCATATTTCCTATTAATTCTCGAATCTTTCTAAACATTCTTCCATCCATTCCCAACTCTTTTCACACTATACTATTCAACTGCATTAAACTGTAAATACACCTACCTTGACAGTACTCATTTTCGATTGTCCTGGTGTACTAGTTGAGATAGGTGGTCTAGTAAAGTTAGGTGGACTATCTGTGTGATTACTGTGATYTCTTGGTGGACTTAACGATCGTTTTTCACTTCGTCTATCATCAGGACCGTAACTATGGCCATCCCTACGACGTTCGTCTCGTTCATTTGAAGGAGACAACGTACCCTGTCGACCCTTGGACGACAAAATGAATCAATATTACGATAGCATTCATAGAGGATATTACATGATGCGGAGATACGGATTTTATCTTCGAGTGTTGAAAAGATCTCTCACGAGGTGAGCGTATTATCAACTTTGCGAAACGGAGAAATATAGGTATTTCATAGATAATTATATGATAAAAATATATATTAAATGGATCTCCATGTAGGGAATAAAACAACCATGAATTCTAGTTCACTTGAGAGTAAAAACATCTTGTTTCGTTCCACAGATGAAGCTACTTTGACGTCATGTAGTACAAATATTAAAAACCCTAAACTTAATAAACATAGAACATTAACTTGCTTTGGTCGGTACTTACCGGTGCAGGTCCATTGCGCATCGGAGGAGGAGGGGTACTATGACGTCCCGGAGGAGGTGTCCCATGATGTCCGGGAGGAGGTGGAGGCGTCCCATGATGTCCTGGGGGAGGGGGTGGACCATATCGACCAGGAGGTGGTGGTGGTCCAAAGCCCATTGGCATTCTGGGTGGCCCTGAAATTCATTTTAGTATTAAAATATTATATATTTAAAAATACATCATAGCAATATCCAATAATCACATTATAAGAATATTCAATCTTTAACATCATAATCAATTACAAATTTCTTTAATGGTTTTCCTCATAGCCTCTTTCAGTTCCAATATTTGTGAAAACGTTTCTAGCTTTAATTTTTACTGTACACTTATTTCATGAGTATTTCTGAACTAAGGGTGTACTTACCATACATAGGGTGCATGGGAGGGGGTGGTGGGGGACCCATTGGTACAGGACTGTGATGTTCTGGAACACGACCACCAGGGGGTCTGTTGATTTTTAAACGTGTTCATTAGTTTCATTTATAGAAAAGATTTGATCCTGCTCACACAAGGGCAGTTCGTAGAGGATAGAATAAGAGGTGGTCAGACAAGACTTACCCTGGGGGTGGGGGTCCTCGTAGAGGTGACTCTGAACGTATGCCATCAGCTGTGACAAACACATAAGGTTATACACAACTCTACATTGACACTCTTAATATTATTATTGTAATAATACTTCTCAACAAGACCGAAGCAAGAACATTTAACTGAATAATCAAGATGTTTGTATTGATTGAATACTCCAGGTTCAAATTCTCCTTTCTGCAATCTTAGCTTCAATCAAGCATAAATTTGTTGTCTTCTTTGTACACAGAGTGTTTGCATTACAATAGATTCTCAGCTGAATAAAAGAATATATTACATGCTTTCGAGGTTAAGGCTGCACAAATAAGATCTCGAAACTGGAGTATTCTATCATTTTGTACTGATTAATAGACTGTTTGACTGATTGACTGACTGCTTGATTGATGCTTGATCAAGTGATTGACAAACTGAATTAATGAAAGATTGATTGTTACACTTGAAGAATACCAATAAACAGATGAATACTTACTACTATCTGATGATTTCCCACTTTGAGATGACCCTGGTCTGTTCTTTTCCTTGTCCATGGCATATAACCTTGGTTAAGAAAACGCAGTCTTTTAAATACTTAAGACTAGCATTGACAAGATTGAATTTACTTGGTGATGGTTAAAAGAGATGAAAATCCATTAAAAGAATAAAGTATATATACATAACTAACTAACCTTCTTCTCAAAGCATCTCTCTCTCGTTTTACTTCTTCAAGTTCTCGTTCTACTGTTCTGTACTTRAGCTGCATCAAAGAATAACAGTGTTCAAATATATATATTCTATCTCCATCACTCATACTTGCAGACTACTGTAAATCATTTGTAACTTGGTATTAGCTGTTCAAGGCTTACTCACCCAGTTGTTGTGGGCTCTCTCTTCAACTTGAGCCACCTAATACATGATAAACAATTAAGTAAGTCATTACACTTTATTTTATACCGTGTCAGCAACAGCAAATGCATAAAAACAAATAACACAGCAAGCATTAGTTGCCTGTTAATTCATAACTAATTGTGTTAATAAGAACAGACAGAAAACAAGAAACTGCACGTCAAGCTAAAAACGACACCAACAGTCAAGCAAATGAATAAATAAGAGAAAAGTGAAGACAWGTTGTATATAAAGTAAAGCCTGGAATAAAATGCAAATAGACACACAGGCAAGGATTTAAAAAGTACATACAGTCAAAGATCTCCTTGTAGGCACTCTTGTTAGCAGACAGCTCTAATTATGGACAGCTTTCCAAAACCTGTTGTTTTTTTTCTATCAAGCAAAAACTGTTCACATTTTCTCACAGCCAAACAAGCCTACCTAAAGAATACTTTTCTGTTTCCCAAGGGTGTCCACACTTGTGGGAGATTTGYCTGTATTATACAAGATGTTATATGCATGGGATATTGTATTACCTGATGGTTGACATTACCCTTGACCCTTTGGATCTCTTCATTTATATCTTTATAAAGCTTTCTGTATTACAAAAAATATTCATTATAATTTAACAATCTCTGCTGCACAATTAGACGTATTACTGAATCAAGAAGACATCATAGTTAAATGGCAATAATCACAAGAATATAGCTCCTTCCTGCTTGACAGAAAATTTCCTTACTTGTATGTAACAAGATCCTTTGAGTCTGCTGATGCTTTAGAAAGCTCTGTTTGTAGTTTGTGTTCAGTTGCTTCTCTTGCTGACTCCTCTGCTGTGAGTTTTCTGTGCAGCTCATTCTCAGTGTCCTTGAAGTACTTTCTGAGGGCCGTCAATTCTATTTCTTTCTCACGGAAGTCAAGATATGCTTTTTCCTCATTCACTTTGGCATTGGATAGCTCTTGCTCAAGTTCTTGAATCTTTTCTGTATTTGAAAAGAGAGATGAGATTGTAATGTTGCTTTCAATGGATGTGTCAAACACACACAAGCGCAGTGGCTTGTGGTTCCTCAAGATGCGCAAATTCAACTTCAGAACACTGTTATGTTCTTTTTAGTTGCAGTTGTTGTTTATTTTCAAAGTATTAGTAATCTTTTTACCATTTGATATTGTTAGTGAATTTTTCACGTACCTTCCAAAGCCTCTTTGTTAGTCTTTACTTTTTCCAGTTCACTTCTAAACTGAATATTTTCTTCTCTGATGATTTTTGCTTCTGTCTTGGACTACAAAACAAGATATACCACAATAAATATTATRATGGCCTTGTTTAATGATAATGAAAATAAAAATAATTGCATATTGCCCTGAATAGCTGATCCTACATGTAGCTRTTGTTGCACTCTACTTAGTAGTGCTCAAATAAAATGTAAGCCAATACAAGTATCAACAAACATACAATACATAGCTTATTATTAACTTGACAAAACAATTTTTGAGATTTTAATTTGCTGTTTCTATAGCTAAATAATATACCTTTGAAGCATCCAGCATGGCTTTAAGTCTGTCAGCTCTTGCTTTATCCTCTGAAAAATCAATATTCAAATACTTAACTTAAACCACCAAACAGTTCCAGATCAAACACTATATTTCCATATGATAAGCTGCRCATAGTGCTTCTTGTGGTTGAAATTATAGCTTACTTTCTTCCTCTGTGGAAGTACTGTCTTCATCGCCCTCATCATCATCACTCTCCTGTCCCTTGATCTGAAGCAGACAATCTTGAAGAACCTTTTAATACAAAAYGTTTACCAATTAAGATTAAGTGTCTTTCAAGTAGCGATAGACTGCTGTCAATCAAGATTCTGCAAACAAACCATTGGTTGTCATCACAAAACTTTAGTTGATTGACAGCAGACTATTTCTTATTGTAGTTGTGAAGTTTTATCTGTGCTGGTTGTGTAGCAATGCAAGTCAYGATGGAAACCAAGAATACTGGTCATCATCAAAAACAATACACAATATGCAAATGGCTATTTCAAGATAATGCAGGTCTTTACCTCGACTTCATTGCACTTGAATTCATACTGTTCTTGGATTTGACTGTTGCGTAAGGCCTGATCATCAAGGCTCTCCTGGAGCTTGTCAAACCTGAATAAAAAACGCATCTTTAAATATCAACATCGTCAAATAAAAAGATAGAAAATAAATGAATGAATGGCTGAATAAATGAGCAAAAGTAGTGCCTTACTTGTCATTCCATTCCTTGATCTTTTCAGCAAGCTAAGAATTAAGAAAACAGACAATAATTATAAGGTTTCATAATGATTATATATGAATAAATTAAAGTCAAAATGATACCTCMTCTTTCTCTTCCTCTTGACTATCAACCTTGCTGTTCAAAGTTTTGATTTCTTCTTCACGTGAAGCATTGTCATCTTTAAGGTCAACAATCTCCTTATTCAACTGTTTATAAAAGATAGCATAAAATTGTCAGTAAGTCATGGCAAAAACAATAAAATCCTTATTTTTTTCCCTATATTTTTTGCTTTGTTTTGAACAAGATAATAGCAAAAAAATACAAGAATTTCCAAATAAAAGCTATTCTTGCTTACCTGTTCAATTTCATCTACCCTGTTCTTGATTTCACCTTTATAATCTCCAATCTAAAGAACAAAGCATGAAAACTACTGTTAGTTGTTAAAATAAATATAAAAACTGCTCCTTGATTTTTTTTTATATTACATAAAGATATTTTAGGAAATATGACAAAGGCAATCCATTGGTTAMCAAACATRACAAAATGTAAAAATCAAAAAACAACAACAAGAAATTGATTTTACAGCATGAAGTCAAGTCACATACAAAGAACAATAAACCAARAGAAAGATCATTTCCCARCCAAAGGAAAGATAATCTTTTCCAAACTAACCATTTTCTGWAGATGTTCAAATTCTTCAYCTTTCTTCTCYAGTTCTTCAATGGAKGCTTTGATGTCCTCYTTGTTGTTGTTGATGATGGCCTGCAATTCCTGTTGTTCTTGCTGTAAAATCATTGGRATAAACTTAGCAAAATGAATATTATTTTCTTTCATAAACATTTCAYTGACAACATACACATGTTATCACATGAAACTCTTCAATACAAACCTCATACTGTTTAATCTTYAACATAACATTCTCCAGGCTTTTCCTTGCTGTGTTAGCGCCATCTTCAGCATGGTGTTTCTACAACAAACAAAATAAGTCAACAATAAACCAAACTTGTTTACTCTCAATACAGAAATCGTCTTAGTCACAAGTTAATACAACATATTTTAATATGTAAATTTTTTAATATTTTAATATTAAAATAATAATGTAAGTTCTTACTTCCTCCATTGCATAGTGAAGCTTGACCTCCATTTCCTTGTTACTGGCTTGAAGTCCATCGCGTTCCTCTTCAAGAATTCGAATTCTTGCCTCATAAGTCTTGAGGATATCTATCATATTATAACACAATATCTCTCTTGATTAATTCAATATTGTAATATTCAGTTTAAATTYTATTACCAGAGATACRCTSTGCAYAGTACAYACATGTAAGTACWGGGAYTCARTCTCTATYATGCCTTGCTCTAGTGCAGTGCCTTCTWTSTTATCAATCTTACCTCTTAAACTTGGCCCACTAGCTTCACCCTTTGAATTAATGCTGGACTGTAAAATGAGAAAAAACAATATTAATTAAAACAATATTTATAATATATTATTATGATAAAACATCTTAGATCTTGGAAGATGCATGTACTATCTAAAAAAATGAAAATTTAATCATTAATGTTTAGGCTGTACTCACAATACAGGTGCAAAGAAGAAACACTGCCCCTAGAGTACCAACCAGAACAGTACATACTAGTACCAAAGGAGGTGCTGTAGCAAGATCTTGACAGATATCATCAAAGAGCTRGAAAATAATAATCATTGGTACATTCAAACATGAAAAAGTTTCTTCATAATGTTCACAGTTTTACTGCTCTTACAATATAATGCCTGACAAAACATGTTGGACATAAAAATATGAGTGTTTGCATAGGAAATTATTGTGTGAAGGTAGCTAACATGCATCCAGTCAACTGTTGTATATCTCACCTGACCAAGTCCAATGAAGCCCAATGTTCCTTTCACGGCACCTTTGACAGGCTGTCCATAGTGCATAACACCTTCAGCTAAAGCCTGATGAAACCTCCAAAACCCTTTCAGTATCCCAAAGCTTTTAGSTTTAGGTGCCTCTGTGACATTCTCTGCACTTAGTGGAATCTCTGGTGTGGAGGTTGGAACTGCTGTTTGTTTGATTAGGTCTTGAAATTCCTCCTTCTTGGTGCTGCCATCTTTAGGTGTTGCTACTTGTTCTTGACTGCTAGTGTCGTTTACATTTGGAGGCTCTTGAGATGAGCTGTTGTCTTTTCCTTGCTCATTTTGATTTTGGTATGTTGGTGGGGTGCCTGTTGGTGGGGTGCCTGTGGGAGGCAGTGAAGGAGTTGGTAATACTGGTTGTTTTTGCACAGCAGTTCCTTTGATATCTTGAGTAGCACCTTCATGAGCGGCCAACGTATCATTACTTTGTGATGATAAAGCTTTCATGTTGGTGTTTTCGGTCTGAGTGGAAGCCTGGGTTGTCTTGGTTTCATCAACAACTGCCTTTTGAGCTGCTATAGTTGTAGTGTACAGACTTGAAGGTGTTGGTTTGATGTTAGTCTTAGTAGTGGCTGCTGCATCAGGTTTGCTTGTAGTTCGTGTTACTTTTCCTCTGTCTTTGCCATCCAGCCTTCTCCTTGGTGAGACTTCTTCTTCATCACCTTCAAGGTCTTCTTCAAAAACTATAATTTCACAATGAAAAATGTTAAATAAAAATAACATGACGGCTAATAGAATACATTCATAATTTCTAATAAACACTTTGTAAGAAATTGCATGTACATGTATAAAAACAAAAACAGAGATGGATTTTGTTGTAGAAAAAAATTTGATGAAGAACTACAATAAAACTCTGTCTGCAACAATCACATTTTGTTTAAAAGGGGAATATTATAATCAATACCAGGTTGTTATTTATTAGTTTTAGCATCATTACACACAATGAGATAGTCACATTATTATCACATTATTATCACATTATTAGTCCTCGTCATGTTACATCAGTAAGTTAGCACATATTCAGTCGGTTCGTTCCTCAGTCAGTCATGCAGTTGACCATGGCTTGTTGATAACTCACAAGTAGTTGTTGAGTAAGTCAGTCATTTGGTGAATTAGATAATATGTGGTGCTTTGTTGATAGTCTGGTTAACAGGCTTGTCAGTCAGTTTATAAGTGGTTTGAAGTGTCGGTTAGTCGGTTTGACAGGTATTTTCTTGGTTCATACCAGGTAGGTTGTTTTATCAGCCATAATTATTGTTTGCTAAGTTGATAGTGTGGTCTTTGTTCATTCAATGTCAGAAGAGTAGAATATTTGTCATTGTTAGTAATTTAAGTAAATTGTCAGTTATTTAAATAGGTAAGATTTAGTATAAGGAATCAACTTAAGACAAAGTGGTTATAGGTAAGTGTTTAGTTAGAGTTTTAGTATCAAACTTCAGAAGATTTAGTAAGCATAAATCAATTGAAAGTATAATGAAACTGGAATGTATATCTTCATGGAGACATAAAATTATTATTAGTTATTTATCAATTATACTTGTTAAATATTAAGATCAATTTAGCCAGTTAACCAATCAAACTATGTTATCTTTACAATCTTAACCTGGTTGTGAGGGAGGCCAAAAACACTGCAGTTCAGGAGGACCATCTTCATCAAAACAACAACCATCTTCATGGCATTCATCTTCATCCACATCTAAAGCACAAGCTTCTCTTTCCTTGATTGGAATTGACAAACAACTTTCCTGGTCTAAATGGATGACTGTGTGCCATTGGAGAAAGATGGAAAATATGATTTTAAACCAATGAAAAATGAATAGAAAACTAAGCTACTATAAAAATGCTGTGATATGAATCAAAGTGTACACAGTGATGTAACAACTATAACTAACAACACTAAACACTAAAAGAGAAGAAAAATGAGTTCTGGTACTTTAGACATTGCTGAGTGAAAATTGTGTCAAATAGGAGAAGGTATAGAAAAACTGTACCTACTAATGAAGCATTTTATTGGTTTTAAAGTTTATAAAAAAGAGAGATATTTATAATCTTGTAGCATTTTAAATCTCTTTGGGATTACAAAGTTAATACTTTTTGAATATTGCTCAGTTAATTTATGAATTTAGATCAGTTTATCAAAACTAATGATAAATGAGTGTATGAGTGAAAAAATGAATGGATGAAAAGTGAATGGATACGATCAATGAATACACCACATAACATCCATATAAAATCAACACTGCCATCAACAATGAACAATAAAATGTCCAAACAGCTACAAAGACAGCTAAAAAACAAAAACATCACCACAATTCTAAAACTCTACAATATTTGTACACTTACACTCCTTGTCAAATGTTTTCTTCTTTCTCCTCCTGCCTTTCTTCTTACCATGCTTTTTGCTAGTTTTCTTTTTGGATGCCTTCATGTGAATTTTCTTGAACTTGTTGTGTATCAAATTAGGCATTACTGGTGGAGCTCTTCCTGGCTTGACAGCAGTCTTGTCTTCTGGACTATGAGCAGCAAACCTATTTCCATGCTTTTGTGCAGAAAGCTCTTCCTTTTTTCTCTGGGTTTCTGTTGTAATTTTAGCCTCACTTTTCACTGCCTTGTCTTCTTGTCCAGGAGGAGACATAGCTGCTAGTCTTTCTTTTAGAGCTGCTTCAATTTCCATTTCTTCTTTCAGTTTATCTGCCTCTTCTTGAGCCTTCCTTTTCTTTTCATCTTCAATTCTCTTCAACTCTGCTTCTCTCTTCCTTTGTTCTTCTAGTTCTCTCAGCTGCCTTTCCTTTTCTTTTTGTTCTCGATCTTTTCTTTCTCTTTCTGCTTTTTCTTCTTCAGCTTTACGTCTTTCCTCCTCAATTGCTTTTAACCTTTTCTCAACTTCCAACTTGATTCTTTGCCTTCTTTCTTCTTCTTTCCGTTGCTTTTCAGCCTCTTCTTCTAGCAGCCTCTGTTCTTCTTGCGCCTTAAATTTTTGCTCCATTTCTTCATGTGCTTTTCTTTCTTCTTCTCTTCTTAATTCTTCTTCTTTTTGCTTTTTCATTGCCTCTTCTTGTAGTTCTTTTAATCTCTGCTGTTCTTTTAATTGCCTTTCCTCCTCCATCTTCTTTTCCAATGCCTTTCTTTTCTCTGCTAACATTGTCGCTTGCTCATTCAGTGATTCTACCCTTCTACGCTCTTCTCTTAAAAGCCTAAGACGTTCTTCCTTAGCTTGCTCTTCTGGTGTCTTTTCACTTTCAATGTTAACATTTTGAGGTTGTTGGGAGCTTTCTATCTCATTATTACCTGTCGCTTTTGTCTTACTTTGCTCTGCTGCTCTTTTCTCCTCTTCTTCAAAGATTTTTTTCATTCCTTCATTTATTTTAGCAGAGGCTTCCTTAGCTTTGTCGTCTTCAAGTATACCTTCTTCAGCGTCTTTTGGTTTTTCAGAATCTTCATTTGCAGTTGAATTGCTGTTTCTTCTTGTTGGTTCAACCTCTTCATCTTCATCTTCATCTTCATCATCTTCTTCTTCCCCTTCATCACTGGCATCACCACCACCTGTTGTTTCCTCTTGTTGTTTCTTCATCTGTCTTCTTTGTGATAAGATAGCTTCTCCTTTAGACGAGAACTTGTGCTGTGCCCCAGAAGGTGCCCCATTACCTTCTTTACTATCAGCGACGTTATTGGAATCTTGCTCTTGTTTTGGATTTAAGCTTTCTTTGCTTTCTTCACGGTTTTCTTCACCATTTATTTTCTGGTAGTGATTCTTTAGGTCTTCATCAACTACAGCCTTGAGATTTTCTTGTACATTCTGCACAACCTCTTCCAGTGACTTTTTACTTTCGTCCATTTTCTTTTCTTCTTGCTTAGTTTCCTCTCCAGCTTGGACTTGGACGCTGTCTTCATTATCATGCTCGCTGGAGGAACCTTGCCCTTGAGAATATAGGATTGCGTTTCTTTCATTTAAAACTCTCAGGAGTTCTTCTCTAGGCATTGACATGTACTCACCTTCCACAAACTGAGGTAGCTTCTTGTTCTCAAGACCTTCTCCTACTGCTTGCTTTGGGTCTGTTTCCTCTGGTGTGGTGGATTTATGGTCTTCCAAGCTAAGAGCATCTTCAATGCCCTCATCTGCACCTGACTTAATATCGTCTGAAGTAAAAAGAAAATAAAACAAAATGCAACTGTAAAAAGAATGCAACAAAAATACATGATTTGAATGGGATAAGAAAATGATTTATTGAATGAACTGACGGCAAATTATGAACAAATGGAATGACTGAATGGATGAACAAATGAATTTATTAATGAATGAATGAATAAATGGACAAGAACTGATGAAATGAAAACATTATTTAATGAACAGCACTAAAATGAATGTAGCCTAATATCATGATTATCATTATTATTATTAAGTGTTCATTATGGCATAATGAAAGAGCAATGGAATTGGATGAGAGATTATTGGTGTATAAATATAACATTATACATGTATATTGTACATGTATTATACAAATATATTTTATTGTTTTAGCCCTATACACATCATTTCACCTGACTGTTGACCAAGTTTCTCAGTAAAAAAACAATGAAAGTAAACAGCTTCTGTAGCAAAAGTAGCTGTAGGTTTTGCAGCTTCATTAAAAAAAAAACACTTTTTCATCAAGTAACTGGTGGTGATTAACTAGGTAATTACCAGAAAGCTACTAGAGGAAGACTAGTACTGAGAACCCTGTTGTTAAGTCTCTTTTGTGCTTTCTAGAATTGTCTTGAAAGACCCTAGTTTTTGCATTAAAGCAAGATGACCAGTGACAATGATAGAAACCTTAATTTGTTTCAAACCTTTTTCTAGTGTCTATGATCATTTCATGCTCACTGATCATCCCATTTCAATGCAAAAGCAGTTCAAGTTCAAGATAGTGCTGCAAGGAGACTATCGCATATTAGTATAAACATACTAATGGTCTATCACTCATACTGCGTTGTGATTGGCTACTCTACTAATGGTCTAATTTGTGATAGACCACTCGCGGGAAAATTAAAATAAAAAAATTATAAATCATAAATTTTTTTCAGGATATTTCAATTTGTTTTCATTATTTGACCGATTAGTATGTTTATACTAAAACAATTAGACCTCTCGGCCTCGTGGACTATGAGCTAATAGCCCATTCGGCCTTGCGGACTCAGCCTCATGGGCTATTAGCTCGTAGTCCACTCGACCTTGAGGTCTAAATGTTAATTAAACTTAATTAATTATGATATAAAAGGGACAGAAGAACGAATGGATTACAATTATTATTATTATCGTTATAATATTTTATACTATTAATGGTCAGATTCAAGTGATGATAGTGTTACAATAAAAGTAGTTTACAAAGAGAATTATGTCCATTAAACTGATTACAGATTATAATACATGCATTTTGCTAGCGTTGTGCATGTTAGTCAGCTGTATGGTGCGCATGCTATTGCATTTCTCAACTTGTACTTACAAACTCTGTACTAATCACTTCTAATATCCCAAAATATGCATGCAGCGAGGGACATTAGCTTTGATCAGTACTCAAAAACCAGATCCTGAAATCATAATGGCATACTACATGTCCTTTAAAAATAAATGAACTTTTTGCTTATTCATGTCATGTATGTTTATACTACTTTCTGACTTATGCAAATTTAATAATTTCATTGAGATTTATATATGTACATGTTTATTGTTTATATGTCAAAGGTTTAGCATCACATCGGGTGTTTATGAAATCAGTTTTTAAAACATGCTCAAATGACAAATTATCTCTCAAAGAGAAATTATTTAATGATTATGTTTAATGTTAAAACAGTTTTGGAAATAAACATTCACAAACTTTAAAGAAATATACATCAATAATAGTTATATTTACATAGTAAAACATTTATAAGACTCTGAACTGACATTTTTTATTTTTATTTGTTACTTCATACAATTTTGTTCTTCAGCATAAGTCATATTTTGTTTATCTGTCTTTTATCAAATTAAACAAAATATGTTGAATGTTGATATGACGGCATGATGTACAATTTATGAATATTTGTAGCAAAGACACTACAAGTACCTTTAGTTTCATTCTTGGTTTCTTGATCTACCTCCAGTTTGTCTTGCTCAGCTTGTTCAGGGTTACCTTGTTCAACTTGTGTTGGATGTTGTTCCTCTTGTGCCCCTTCAGGAGGCTCTTGATTGTCTGGCTCAGCTTGTTCAGGGTTACCTTGTTCAACTTGTGCTGGATGTTGTTCCTCTTGTACTGCTTGTGCAGTGTCTTGCTTGTCTGGCACAGCTTGTGCAGGGTTACCTTGTTCAACTTGTGTTGGGTGTTGTTCCTCTTGTACTGCTTGTGCAGTGTCTTGCTTGTCTGGCTCAGCTTGTGCAGGTTTACCTTGTTCAACTGGTGCTGGATGTTGTTCGTCTTGTTCCTCTTTTGGAGTCTCTTGCTTGTCTGGCTCAGCTTGTTCAGGGTTACCTTGTTCAACTGGTGTTGGATGTTGTTCCTCTTGTGCCTCTTGTGGAGCCTCTTGCTTGTCTGGCACAGCTTGTTCAGGGTTACCTTGTTCAACTTGTGTTGGATGATGTTCCTCTTGTCCAGTGTCTTGCTGGTCTTGCACAGCTTGTTCAAGGTTTCCTGGTTCAACTTGTGCTGGATGATGTTCCTCTTGTGCCCCTTCAAGAGGCTCTTGATTGTCTGGCACAGCTTGTTCAGGATAACCTTGTTCAACTTGTGTTGGATGTTGCTCATCTTTTGCCCCTTCAGGAGTCTCTTGCTTGTCTGGCACAGCTTGTTCAGGGTTACCTTGTTCAACTTGTGTTGGATTTTGCTCCTCTTGAACTGCTTGTGGAGGATCTGGATTATCTTGAACAACCTGTTTGGGTTCTTGCGCATCTTGTCCTTTTTGATCTTGTAGAGCAAGTGGTTTAGCATCTTGGTTTCCAGCTTGCAAAGTCACTAGTTTTTGAGGATCTTGATCTTCCTTTTCAGTTTCAAGTTGCTTTTCTTGTTCTTCTGCATTGCTATGAATTTCTCCTGTTTCCTTTACAGTTTCTATATCACTAATCTCATTTTGTAACACTGCCTTATCTTTCTGATTATCTAATTTATTTTCTACATTTTGCGATTCTGTTGACTCCTGTGTTTGCTGACTTTGTGAGTCTTCTAAAAGATTATAGTCTAAAGCATTAGTGCTATCTCTATTACCTTCAGGTGTTTTGCTATCAGGAGACTCTGCTCTTTTATCTTGACTAGTACCAATAGAGTCACTTTCTGAAGTATCTTTTTGGTGGTTTTCCTCCACATTTGGCGAAAGTTCGGAATTTGTTTCTGAATTCTCATTGTTCTTATTATCATTATCTATTTGATTGTTATTTGAATTGCTTTTTTGTTGACTAGATAAAGTATTTTCATCTTCTTCCTCCCCAGCTGGTAAACTGAAAAAACCGGACAAAGAGTCCATAATCCCGGACATGGTCCCCTTGGTCTTTTTGCTGTCCTCACCTGGTTGGGGATTACTGTCTTTGGGGTTTTCTTCATCTTTAATGGTGTTTTCTTTGCTATTTTCTCCAGGTTTGTCTTTGGTGGTATCTTCCAACTTGTCTGGTGTCTTGTCGCTCTGATCAGCGTCATTAGCAGACCCATCCTCAGAGTCCTGTAACACAGTGAATTACTGTAAAATTGATATATAATATAGTTGAAAATGATGAATAGATGGGTGGAAAAAATATTGAAAACGGTAATGTTCAAATTACTGAATGGAGCAAAGTGGAGAAAATGATGGAAAACACAAGGATGAATACATAGAATTGATAGACTGAGACAGATGAAGGAATGATATTTCAATGGGTGATTCAATAGAATAATGGATAGATATAAGAAATAATAAAAGGATGTGTGCCCTTTTATTCCCAACATTCATTTATTATTTCATCCATTCAGCATTTCATTTAATCATTTGTTCATTCATTCATCCTATATTCCATCCATTTATTCATTTTACCATCATCCATTGATACATYCCTTAATCCATCCATCTATTATTTACATGTTCATTTATTCATTCATCCTTTCATCTTTTATTCCATTTTCTCCCATCCATTCATAGATGGATAAAGAAATAAAACAATGAATGGGATAAAGGAACAAAGGATGGCTGGAATAAGGAATGGATATATTTTATGATAAAAGGAATGATTGATGGAATATTGATGGTGAATTGATTAATAAATGGTTAACTAAATGGTAAATAATGTAAAACAGTTCCTCTTACCTCCAATATTTCCTTGGAGACAACAAAAGATGGATTGGGTTCATAAATAACATATTCTTCTATATTTTCTTTTGGAAAATATCCACCTTTGCCATTAACCTAAGCAAATCAAATTATTACTAAGAATAACATTATTATGGTTCTTAAAGTATACAACATTGGAAAATTTTAGACTTATTGATAATGATTTTTGCCGTCTTTTCTATAACAAAACAGCATTGTATTGAACGAGTTCTGTAAAGTTCATGTTATTACCTGGCCAAACCACATTTCTGGTGATTCATCGGGATTCTTGGCGTATACATATATATTGTCTCCTTGTTTGAGACTCAAGTGATCTTTACCACTTGTGCCTTCAAAGTTTTTTATAACTCTACCTACAGATATAGGTTCTGAAAATATATGAAAAAATGAATGAGAGAAAGAATAATGTGATTTCTAATACTTTACTTCCCATTCTCCATTTCCCACTGTTCTTTTATCATTACTTCAAAATCCTGTTAAAACGTTGTCTATAATTATGTACACAGAATGTTCTATAAGGAAAATGGGAGGAATGATAAATAAAAAGAGAATGAAATAATAAATCTCACTTTTAAAAATTCTCATTTATCCCTCCATCACTATCTTGTCCCATTTTCTACACTTCAAGGGCCAAATAGCTTCACTGTAATGCCTATTTAAGGAACTTTCCTGGCATTTGAAGTATACCAAGTAGAAATTCTTTACAAGACCACAAATCATTTCAAACTTATTTAGGTTTTTCTTGGACTCAAATGTTAAACATATATGGCAATCGCTGTCAAAAATATATTAATCAAACATTCTAAAATTATAAATGAAATAAACACGTTTCAGTTGATTGTAAACAGAGAAATACCCCTCCCATCGAATCCTTGAATGATCACTGACTAAATTTAGAACTATACCTTTTTTAAGTGAATACATATAATTTGACAATTGAAAAAGATACCTTAGAACTCTTTTAAAATGATCAAATCGATAGCAAACTATCGGAATAAATTAATCTCTATTAAGTAGACTGCTGTTCTCTAACCCTTTCTATGGAACATCTGAACATTTTCTCGAATTTTGTTTTTCAAGCAAATTTTCCAACCAAACTCACACTTGGTTCAGATACACTAGCAAATTCATCCTTAAGATTAATTTGGTATATTAATTATTTTATCGAGAAATAATTTGAGAATACTCCAGTGAAGTTGAGACGTGGACTTCAGTTCTAGACAGGCTTCAAAACCGGTGCAGAAAAAACGTCCCAAAATCACTAAAGATACACAAACCATTACACTGAAATACTTACCATTGCATAATTGATCCCTACACACTCTTGCTTCTGACATTGAGTGTGTTATCAAGACGGTGGACAGGAAAAATAGCGCAAAACACGCTAAATTCGACCGTGCCACCATCTTGAATAATCAATTGTGCCAAATTAGCGCATGCGTAATTGCATTGTTACGTAGGTGACGTGTCGTTTAGGGGAAACTCGTACCTTATGAGGGGATGTCATAGTTACACCAATCAATTCAGATGGCATTTTAAAAGTAATTGAACTCGTTAAACCGAGAAAATCTGCGTCAAAACAGAATCTGGTGTCAAACGAAGAACTAATAAGCGCAATAATGTTTTTTTAGGAAAAAGCGGAAAAATATTATAATGTGAATATTGATATTCGGTCCACTACCCTAAGAGATTGATATTTTTATTAATTATTAGAAATTAGAAGAATTAATGCGACCTATTAGATAAATAGACTACTTTTCAACATTTTGATATTAATTCAAGGCGTCATTTCTTTGGCTCCGTTTCATCCATCCGCATATTTTCTTTTCTTCCGCCTCATTGAATTTTCATGCAAATGATGCCGCATTTTGCCATATTTAAGGCGCAGTTCCAGGCGATAGAACTTTTTTATAATCTCAAAAATAGATCGATTTATGACAATGAATGCGCATAACCACTTTGAATTGTATTGGAATTCTTTTAAATAACTTAGTGAAATTGGGCATACGCCGAGGATCTGAGGTCGTGGTTAGCTATCTTTGAGAAGGGTGAGAAGCTGCTTCGGCTAAATGTTCTCTCTATTATGAGTAAATAAAAATCTTTTCGATAAAAGGTTTTGACAAAACGAATTTCATTTTAAAGTTTTTTTTAATTTTGTTATTTTCAAACCSATGACATAATAGTATACAATCGACTTGTCACTTAGATTTTTCACGTCTCTGGACCGAACTCCTACCCTGCGAGCAGAGGAATTTTCCACCCCCTTCTACGAAGAAAAGGAAAAATACCTGTTTTTCCTTTCGTAGATAGGGGAAAAATTCCTCTGCTCGCAGGGTACCGAACTCCAGGACAGTTTCACGAAAAACTATATGTCCGGGAGTCAAAATCACAGTAAAATGTAAATCCAGCCCAATCAAAGATACTTTACTGTATTTAGGTGTAGATAGTCTTCCTTTTGACGAAATCCAGTTGACAATTTAAAGATTCTTCGCCGCTCGGCATAGTATACCATCGACTTGGCACTTAGATTTTTCAAGAAAAATTATATGTTCGGGAGTCAAAATAATTTGAGTAAAATGTAGATTTTAACAAATTAGATAATATTGAGAGCGAAATATTTATAAGAATGTTTTTTACGCATAGCAAACCAATAAAAGAAAAGAAAAAAACTACTACAGAAATTTGGATGAAATATGATCTGACATGAATTCGATCCCGGTCACCCTCCTGTCCGTAAGATTAAAACTATCAGCGCCTTAACGAGATGAGCCACTGGACCACTTCATTTACATAACAATAGACCACTTGACACATTCACCGAATAGACTACCCCAATTTGACATTATATTTTCGATAGTTACCTATTTAGTGCAAGGGGTTATCCATCAGTGTCTAGGGGCCGGATAGCTTCTCCCTCACTGGCTTTTTAGTTAGCGCGAAGTTAGGACCAATTATCGGGATAGCATGGAAGAGCCGAAATCTCTAACCGGAATGTAAATCGATTCGACGCCTCAGCTTCACAGAATGTCTCGGGGGAATCGTCCCAACCTTTTTCGAATTATATGTTGTRGGTTCGAGTCCAAGCGGTCGCCGTTCTTCTTTTTCTAAGAATTTTTATTTTTTTCTTATTTATTACTTTGCAAATCATAATTATACTTTAATTTTGAAAATTAAAGCAAACCTAAAAGTACTTTTATGCGAATATTCATCGTAAGTTTATTTTACTTGAACAAAGGCCACGCCCTTAAATTATAGTGGTTAGGAACTGCATTCTATACAGGCTTTGCACATCTCAAATATCCAATAGCTGCCTTAACGTTACTTGCGCACTAATCTTAAACTACTTCATTGAAATTCGAATTTGCGAAATAGAGTRAAATAGGGGTAYTAGAACGCTACTCGAAGGAGATGTTATTTGCCGGGACAAAATGGTAAAAGGAATTACGCGGAACATCTAATGGAGAATAGAGAAGTTTTAGTCTGTCTATTTACGTTTAAAGTGAAGTTGGAACAGGTAGCAAGTTTTCATGGAAGTGTTTAGTAATATAACTGTAAAGTTTAGTTTAGTAATATAACTGTAAAGAGTAGAATGTATTGATGTTCTTCACGATATCAGGGGCGTGCGCATCAAGGGAATCTCGATCTAAGCGTCCCGGAACCCTCCGATCCTTGTCAGACAAAATCCTTAAATTATGGTGTTTTTTTCGTTGCAATTAGRCTATGATTGCAMTCTCCACGAGTACTTTCTTGTCGTGAAAAGAACTCCCAAGGAGGATAAGTCATGAGTCAAAATAGTCGATTACTATATCAATTGTTTTTTTTTAATACATTTATGTAATAAACATTTTAAAAAATTCACAGAACGTTTAGAACTTTTTAGTTCCTTTCAAATTAAAATAGCTCGGACTAATCCATGATATTCATGACATGCTTTCAAGTCCATATTAGACTGTGACCGTATGGAAAGGCGTGTTTTGTGTTCTAACGGTACAAACTGGAGCCACTTTCGAATCGAGGTCATTAGGGTAACATCCTATATAGTTTTCCCATTTATTTCAACGGGATTCCATGAGATGAACAAACATCTGCCAATTTATATAATTATATGGCATTTCTCMCAGAGTTCCTCAGTGTTGAAGTCCAATTCCAATAGATAGTTCCTTCTCGCGATAATATGTGAAAATTCAATCGTCATGCACTGTAAGCGTAAGGTAGAGATAAAGAGGCTTTGATGTTAAAAGGTTGAGCTTCTTACGACGATAATCAGTTGGTTTCCGATATCTGAAAMKAATAAATTTAAGAAAACGTAAGTGCACCATAACAAAAGTGGGAAAAGACGAGAGTGAAATATAGAAACAGTGTGACAGATCACATCATAAGCAATCAAGTTCAGCAAGTTTATGAAGTCAACTGGCAAACATCATACACAGAAGATGCTTGCCTGGTTATGAAGGTAAATTGAGTCAAGTTTAATACTTTGCGTCTTTGCGCAAACGAAATTTTACGTTATTCAGTGCCTCAAAGTCGCCAAAATGATCATAATAAATTTAAGGAGCATTTATCCCAAACAACGGGTCATCCTTTATTCTTATAGCCATTTTGCAGTCTCGATAAATCATGAGGCCTTGTCAAACAATAATCTATCCTCACAAAAGAAATATTGCAGTAAAGTTATAATGTTACACAGAATACTTACAGTTCTATACATGCCTCTCCGCTCCGTAGCTCGTCTTGYTCCATGAAACCAAAGCATTTCGTGCTCACCATGTTTTTCTTTGGCTTATAATGCTTCAATTCGAAAAATATTGCTGTTCCTGGATAAAAAAAAACAGTATTATAGAACTTATATGACTCAAAGTCAAAAAACTGCTGACAAACAAAATGGTTCAACTGAAGTTTAACATTAGTTTTAAAAGCTCTTTGACTTCACACCTTCACCCACGCTAGGGCAGTTGAGGCACAGTCAGCGGAGATCCGAAAGTTTTTTGTTTTAATCCATTCTTTTTTTTACCTTTTGGAAGCTTTTCTATATGTTTCTGTATTTCYACTTCAATGCCAAAGATGATGTAGTTACCATCTTTAGTGTTTGACACAGGTGTATCTTGTGACATGGCTACACTTACACAATCATTATCTAAAAACAACAAAAGCTTGGATTGTGGATCTATAAGGATTTAAATGTACTGCGCATACAAATCGTGACACATTCATGGTGCCCCTAGCTAACGACATATAGTTGTTCCAGTTTTAATAGGACAGCTATTTGCCCTTCCTTGTAAAAACACATTCTAAAAGTTGTAACAACAGCCCTGCACTCAGTATAAAAGCTTGTTTGACATTCAATCAGTTCTGGCATTTTGTTCTTAAACCCCAACAAAACATTGTTCACAATGAAAGTATCTCATGCACAATGACATCCAAATAAATAAGTAAACTAACCTTTTACATGCACACTAAAAAAACTATTGATATGCGATGCTGCATCTTTGAGGCCTATTTTATCTATTCTAATAGTCAGCCGGTGAAATCCCTGTTCATATGGTATCCTTGGTAACAGAGTACCTCCCTCTCCTAGAGCAAAAAAGACATTATGCCATAATTAAGGATAGTTGTAATGTTGTAATGCTTAAATGCCCCCTTATGATTCAGATATGGTRGKTTCCTTTTTCAGAACAGCCACCTTCGCAATGTAATGAAACCCCTGGCGCACCATTTTCATAGAGAACAACCTACCAGCTAAGACAAATTCTTCATTATTGATTGATTTTGGTTCATTTTCTGTAGTTCCCCTACAAGATCAAGTTAAAAAGTGGTTTACACAATTAACATTTTATACTTGCATTCAAGATCTTTCCTTTCCCCTTTCCCATTCATCCCTAAAATGCTCTAACTCTCATCTTGGGATCCCTGTGGTGATGAGGGAGCTAATTTGAATATTCCTGATTATTGTTTGTTAGGAAGCTCTTTGTAGATGAGCTAGATAAGTATTTAAGGGGATAATTTATGAGTTTGGCAATCAGTGCATTACTTACACTCTAGAAGGAAGTTCAACTCTTACTGGAAATGGCTCATTCCAACCCACCATAAGGTTTTTAAGAACTAGAAAAAATTGAAAGAATGGATGAACTAAAGAAACAAATAAATGAACAGAAAGACTAAATGGATGACTAGGAGAATAAATGAAAAAATGGATGAAGGCATATTAATCATAACTGAATGGATGGGATGAACAGAAGGAAAAATGACTAGATATAAAGCTACCTTCCCCAACTTTTTTTATATCGTCATATGAAATTTGGTCTTTTACAAACTCCTTAAAGACAAAAAAGCAACAATGTCATTTATATTAATGCTGTTGTAATGGATATGCATGTGCTGTTCTTAAAAGATGTCATATTGTCATATCAAAATGGATCTAAGACATACCTGTGTTGATAGCAAAGTGTTAGCTCTCAGCTCAAGACAGACAGAAATTTTCAGCAGGAGCTTCTGAAAGAGTTAGTGACACAAATAATTTTTTCACTCCATGACCTTATAAACTAGTTTGACAAAACGTTCTATTTAACAATTAGACCTCRAGGTCGAGTGGACTACGAGCTAATAGCCCATGAGCCGAGGCCGYAAGGCCGAATGGGCTATTAGCTCGTAGTCCACGAGGCCGAGAGGTCTAATTGTTTTAGTATAAACATACTAATCGGTCAAATAATGAAAACAAATTGAAATATCCTTAAAATAATTTATTTATGAGATGCAGCCATTTTGATTTTCCCGCGAGTGGTCTATCACAAATTAGACCATTAGTAGAGTAGCCAATCACAGCGCAGTATGAGTGATAGACCATTAGTATGTTTATACTAAAGCTACATATCTTATACAGCTTCATAAGAACATGGTACAACATTCTTTCAAAAGTTTTGCAAATTAAAAACAAAGAACAACATGCACACCTTTTGGTCATGCTGAAACATCTGATTCTCGATCACAGTAGCTTTTTTGAGTTCTTTAGAGAGCCTGCAGAAACATAATTGAATAGATAACCACAGGAAGTCTACAAAGTAGTCTTAAGATGTTCAATTAAATGTGCAAATATTACACTGGTTTCTTGAAGAGGCTAAGTCCAACTGTCATTTGAAATGTCATTCAAATTTTCAACAACCCCTGAGTTTTATTGTTAAAATAGGAAATAAATAATGGTTTACAGTTCAAGTAGGTTCTAGAAAACCATATTGATTGAAAGATAAAAAAGAAAAAMAAAAGAATGATGTGAAACTAGATATTGATGATTTCTCAAAGATTTCTTAATCCTGTACATTTTTCACAGAGAAGTATTAAATATAACCCAGTATTGTGATAAATATTGTCACAATCCATAGATGAAAAATCGATGTTTTATAATATCATAGCAAGAATTATAAATAATTTATGCATGTTTACATAATAGTGTTCAATAGTAATTAAAAAAGAAATAGAAAAGAGTCTATGAAAGTGAGAATGACAGTTGTTTTGAAATTGTTTACATTTTGCCCAAAATCTCCATTTWTAAGTATTTACTAGYTATATAGTAAARTTTATACTTTTAAAATTATTATTTTATATTGGTAGAGGAATAATATATATTTAAATATGAAAAAAGATGATTATTGAGTAATAGATTTTTGTCTTTAAACGTTATGTCTTACTATAAAAATTCAAATGTTCTACAAATATATTTTTTTCTACGACAAACAAAGGATTTTTGAGTCGATATATAATGAAAAATATAAAAATGAAATGAAAAACAAAAACCTCAGTATTCAGACAGCTGTCCCAAACAATAACGTCTAGAGAAATACGTAAACATCATGCCTTATATGGCATGAATACCGTATGTTTGAGTATGATTGCAAATTGACATCTGTCTCCTAGTATTTTTAAGTGGATATCATCTACTTGAAAATTCATATTTTTGAATATACATCAGTCCTACAATTATRTAAACTAAAAGTCAGTTAATGTGCATTACGATAAATCATTTTACAGGACGATTGTTTGAGCTTTAATCTATGGAAGCTGACTATTAAAACTGGAGGCCAACAACCTCAAGCAGATCTCAGCCGTGCAAATGATTATCTGCAAATCGATATGTACTTGTCGACTTTCGGTTAYTCTCTGTAGATCAAAGAATTCTAATAGTAAAAGGAAATGAGGTCTAAGAGGTCGGACTTTAGTTAATCTTCTCGTCAAATCTCTTTCCCTCAGCTTTTACCTTTTAGAAACAGATTATATGTCTTACATTAGCATGAAATTATCAGTGAAAGACTAAGAGTGCCCTTTCTAGTCACAAATTCGCCCTGTGTGGCACCAAATTAAAGATAATAGCTTTAAAACTAGTGAAAATATCCCAAAAATTCCGACATTTTGTTAACAAAAGTATGACATACTTTGAATACTGGTCTGCAGCCTCGACCAGCTGACCCCACGAGTCGAAATCTGTTCCTTTGCTGTATGCTGCATACCACCGATTGACGGTTCTGGACTTTTCCGTCATCGATAGTCGAGAAATGAAAAGCAACAGAGCGACACACTTCCACTACAATACCGTAATAATGAAGAAACTCGAGAACTTTACGCTATGAGGGGGTATCCGCTGGCAGCATACTGTGGACTCATGAAAGATTTATTACCAACYAGCTTTTGATTGGTTGTGTTTGAAGTGCTTTTGGAGGACATCTGAGGGTAGGTCTGTTATCTTTATGCTAAAAAAGAGATGGCTATTAATACTGCTATCTGATTTAATTCAAATATTAAGTTCTATCAGGGTGTGTGTGCTTTATTCCTGAGCACTTTAAAGCGATAAATTGAATGAGCTAAACCACTTAGATATTTCCATTTCGAKAGATTACATTTTTGTTCTTCAATGAATATTTTGATATAAGAAGATCGAACCTTCTTGATTCTTACATAAATTTCAAACAACAAAAAAAAGCTTTACCGGAAGTGCCAAGTACAAATATATACTTCCGGCGAAAAATGATCGGTTTCCATGCCAACTTGATGAAGAAGATCGAGCATGCAATCAGAGTTGTGTTTGAAAAAGAGAGATTAAATACCTGCAAAATGACGTGAAACAACACAAACTAAACATGTCTTCACAGGCGGACAGAGTGGTTGGTTATGGCCAAGGTTCTAAAACTGCTACTGTTCTAACCAACCGGTCCAATTTCATCATGATCGTGACTGATGAGCCTCAGTCCGCCCGCCATCCAGACACATTTCGGGGTCTTCCAGCCATACGCAAAGGCGTTCGTCCCATGAACACATCGACTTTGTGCCTTGGTAGCTCTCCCGAGAAGACTTCGTACGAAACCTGCATGAAGTCGGTTAGTGAACAGCTGTTTAACTTGACACTAGAGTTCTAAGGAGAGGTGTAAACAATCTTGAAAACACGCGAACAAAAGACCGTATTTGACAAACTCTCAAAGTTATGGCTAAGTCTTATTTGACATTACGCCATTTGTTGTTGAATAATTTGGGGACCGTGATTATTACAACTAAACTAGAGAGACTGTCAAACAAAGTCAAACCTTTTCTCAAACAGATTGACACTTTTTTGAAATGAATTTTCAATTTGAATTTTTGCGTATAAGCCCGTATCGGCAATTAATTAAAAATTCTAAGCTTATAATTGGTACTCTTCATTCCAATAACAAGTTTTTCAATTTGTTTATTTTGCATTGTTTTGCTTTAGAGCTTTTCTGGTAGCAAATCGCTTCCATCAAGCAAACGGCCACCAGGATTCCCATCACARCATACGTCACAATTTGCYATTGGAAGTGACAATGAACACACCATGGCCTCACACTCCAAGACAACATATGTCAATCATAACAATGCTACAGTAAGTGAAACATAAATAAATAGATGACGAATTGATGGGAGTATTTTATTCTTGGCAATTTCCCATTGAAAGTAMATGGAAGTTGAAAAAAGGGAAAATGCATGTGAAAGGAAAACCAGTACCAAGTTRGACTAAATCGGGCTTCTCACTAGAGAAAGTAAGCAGRGATAAAGAATTAATAAGCTTTCAAAAGAAAAMAATTCACCAATAAAAATCTAATGAATACATGTGGAATTATTTAAAATTCCWRGGCAACATTKATGTTATATGCCATTTTGTGTTGAACTATTATTCCTGGGAAAAATTCATTCTGATCTTGAAAAATAGACAAAATCTCTCAAACCTAAAATAATTCATGAAGTAGCGGTTCTCAATGAATTTGTTTGAATTAAGGATAGATCTGTGTCTTCACAGTGAGCTGCTGTAATCATTTTCCCTTTTTAAACAGGCCCAGCAGCGTGAACATAACCAACGTTGGAACAAACAAATGTCTGGAAAGGACATGGTTGAGTCAACAAGACAAAGCCTGAATACTGAGGTAGTACATGTACATGTAACATTACTCTACAGGATGTTTTCATAAACCTTAAATAACACTTTTAACTGAGCTTTTGGTTTCCCTGTGTAAAATACAACACACATCATCACCACAGGAAGACCAATTTCTGTTGCGCTCCCCTGGAAGAATGATTATATAATAGCTATGATATTGTCTGTCAAACTGTAGTGTTTTCTTCATTCAATCATTTGCAGAAGAGTTTCAATACAACTTATGAAGCAGTCCATAACAATCTTGGGAGAGTTAGGGGACCTGGTACCCAAATGTGCCCACCAAGAAGACAATGCTACAATATTTTGACAGGTTAGTCTATCTGGCAGGTAAACAAAGGGATGCCAGGGGTGCATTTACCCTCCTCTTGGGATTCCTTTGCAAAAATTCTGACTTAGGCTACGTTCACACAGGGCCGGTTCCGTTTGGAACCATTCTAGTTTAGGCTCTCGTTCACACTGGAACTCTGGAACTGGCCTCATCTGAGGGAGGCAAAGTGTTCAGGTCTGGGACCGGCTAGAAAGCCGTTCCACTTTGAGTAAAGGCCACTTCGAAGCATGAAGGGATCTGTGCGAACACTGCTTCAATCTTTACCGAAATGTGGACGCTTCCGTGTGAACAGTGGGAACTGTCCTAAAACCAAGGTGTCCTCAAACTTGACCTGCCCCATGTGAATGTAGTCTTAGACTGACAATTTTGGGTAGCACTTGAGCGGTTTTTTCACTATCTTATCCGATCGGTTTACCAACCYATTTGATAAATAAAAGAAAAGAATAGGATTTAAGAACAAGGAAACAATGAGCATTTTGTTTTATTCCTTCAATCACAAGAAAACTTTCAAAGTAACATAGTCTATTAACTATGGTTGTAAAGGAAAGAGGACAATGTGGTCATATCAGAAACCAGGAATCCCAACCTGTTGAAAAACTTAAAAGCTGGCTGTGGAGAAGGATAGKGTGCATTGAGACTGTCTAATATTGCAAATGTCAAAACATATTGAGACAAGATATATCAATCAATATTCAGTCGTGTGTTGTTGTTTTTTTTTTTTTGACAAGTCGACTTCGATTTGGAGTCAAATTCGAGGCACGAATCACATATGAGCCATTCATTTAATTCAAAAATACTACTCGTCAATATTTGATGAATGAAAAATAAAAAGTTGTTAACATCATGTTGTGATGTTATAGGGGCAGAGATTAATTCACCACCTCAGGATGAATTTCACAAGACGTCTGGAAATCGCACCTTGAGTGACATCAGGCAGGCYCRAGATGAACCGCTTCTGAGATAGAYATTGGTRTTATTGGTGCTTTTTAACAAGAGTGAATTATTATGCAAAAGGGAGGGGATCTATTGCAATTAAATGCTACTTGTAAATTTATTATATCAACCTTATGGAACCTATGAATTTTGACAGTTTTACATGTAAATAAAATGTTTTAACCAATTTAACTGTTTATAGGTCGTTTTATTGTGTTATGTTATTTAGAAACAATAAAAAATTTCATAGTCTCTATCTAATCTCTCTTCTCAGACAGACTCTGGAAAGCAGTCCAAGGGTGACTACTGTATTCATTAGTCATTCCTACTTTCCATTTTATAATAACGTGATATAGCGAATGCATTTTAAGCTCTTCTTGTTTAGAACATATACTCATTTCATTCGTCATRCCAGGTGATCTGTTTTTGTTTAACTATCTATTTTAAAGAAACGTTCACTTGTTTATAATATTCATGTTGACAYGTGTTGTCACATGATTGCGCACCTAAAGCGCATCAATKTGTCAYTCACCATACATAGTCTATTACTTTCTGCACTCAAAGAAATATTTACCCACTAACTCTGAAGTAATTCTCTACGAAGCTACATACGATATTCGTGAATTAGTGTGTGCAATAAAAACGGGCGTCGCCCTTTCGGGAAAACGAATCTTAACCTAAAATCGTTGACAAAATCCTTGGACCATTCCGGCGAATTTCCTCATTTTAGGCAACAGCCACAGACAATTTCATCCCCCCTGAATGTTGTCATTGACCATG